ACCCTGGGATATATGCATTCCGTCTGCCGCAGATGTGTATGTACAGTAGTTGCTTCCATGCTTTAGGGCAGGGGTGCCCAATACATCGATTGATGTATTGGGCGATCGCAAAAGTAGTGTTGGTAGATTGCGTGTCATTCAAAAGTAAATTAGATGTATCCGGCATAAAACACGTGCCAAATGTTAACATGCGAATGGTCAGTGTGACGATTCGCTGTGGTGACCCCAAACGGGAAAAGCAGAAAGTAACAATCATTCATATATAGCCTATCATCCATCCTCCCTATGGCATTTGCTACTTGATTGACATGCAGGGCAGCCAGTCTGAGATCTGGTCTTTTCTGACACACAAGTCACCAAGCACGCAGAGTCAACCGCACAAGCTACTGCAAAACTCCAGTGAGTGTCAGCCTTTGAATGAATTTCTACTAAAGGGTATAAAATGAGTGGGGGAGCTGAATCAAGTAAGAAGCCAAAAACGTACCGGGAGGAGGACTTTTTTTTCGCGACGTTATATTCGAAATGCATTTGCTGGACCTACCAATCTACCATCACTATTCTGAAGAAGGGAAATGCGGAGCGGCACTTTCAGACCATTCATAAAAACTACAACACTCATTCATACATATATTTTGTGTGTGTGTGTGTTTGCATGTGCGCACGTAATATTTTTAGTGGAGGTCGATCATTTTGACTTGGTCATTTGAAAAGTAGCTCACAAGGCAAAAAAGTGTGGGCACCCCTGCTTTAGGGGGTACTAGTGTGTGTGTCCAGTGTCCACTGCTAAACAGACAAGTTGACCATTTTATAGCCTTTGAAGAAATGTATGTATGTGCTAATGTTTGTTAATCTGCATTATTAGAAGAATTTAGCTAAAGGTTTGACCTGATAATGGAGGCTAGATTAAAGTGAAGTGTTTACCAAGGTTTCAAATCATTCTGAGAGGGCCCATGAATGTTTGTATAGCCTTTAATAGCAGTTGGTCCAGTATTAGGATATTTTTGGACAATAGTGATCAAGTGTCTCAGCCCCAACAACTACTGAAAATTTATATGACATTTTTTATTGATAGGATTTGATTTGATTTGATTTATTCTTTCAAACATGCAAAACAGAACAAATGACAGCAACACACACATAGTTACACATATCCAACCAATGCTAATCCAAAATCAGTTTGCTTACACCTATTACATGTTTGAATGGAGTAGGAAGAAGTCAGACTTATCCAGTCCTACCCCATAACATCATATTATACAAAAAATTTCATGCATCATTGGCTGCAAGCAGTATCTCTACATAGGTAATTGCCTTCTTCACCAACAAGTAATACACAGAACATTAAAACAGAGTGTTTCCTTAATGCCTTCTCGAATAAATCTTATTCTTGCATATATCTTGAATGACACATACATTTATATTTATATTTAAACTCCTCAATTCTAGTACTATTTTTCATGTCCACACTTAAATTATTCCATAATTTGACCCCACTTATAGAAATACAAAATCTGTTTTTGGTTGTACGTATAGCATGAACTTTTAGATTTAAGTGACCCCTTAAGTTATATCCCCCTTCTGGACCAACACAGAACAGACTCATATAAGACAAACCATTGCCTTAATCTGTGCAGAAGGATCTCATGACTGAGTGTATCAAAGGCTGAGCTAAGACCCAGCAGAACTAAAATTGAGGCAAATGATGCATTGACAGTGGGCAGCAACCAGGGCCAACAGAAACCAGAACCTGTTTAGGAAAACTTGCAGGAATGTAATCATAAGGACTGGATGAAGATTGCAAATGCAGCACTGTTTCTACTGAACAGTTCAGAGCTCCTATAGGGGCTTCTTTAGTGAGACAGAATGGCTACAGTGTGGAGCTGTATCAATATCTATAAAGAGAACTGTGATTAAAGATTATCAACAGAGACATTAAAAATGGCTTAGAATCAATAGCAAAAGGTATTTCAGAGGGGGCAGCATTCAAAGACAAATTTACAAAACCTGGTATTATTCCTACAGCAACAATAAGTTATCAATAACAGCCAACATTAAAGGAGAGCATTATAAAAAAAAGGTTGGTTCTGCCTCTTGCATTACTTTAAGTTAATGCAAGATAAATCATGGGTGTCAATCATTTTTACAGGATCTTTTGAAACCACAAGTAAATGTTGCACTACAATCTGTACAGCATCTACAAAGGACTAATCACAAATGTGAAATCTTCTATTGAAGCAGTGTTCTGAGGCAGATGTTGGATGTGGCTATTTTGGAACAAACCTGCAAAGATTTACATCCTCAAAGGTTCTCCCTTCTGCTGGGAGCTTGACACCCCAGAAAACTAGACAGTGTTTTGCCTCTGTGCAACACAGATACTCTCTCAATCCATCAGGCTAATTAGCACCACATCCTGGAACAAGTCTATTGGTTTAATGCAGGGCAGTCATACAAGGTTGAACTCCTCCTGCATGTTTTTTGTGTGTAATGATAAACCAGATACAGCCCTGTGACTCCTCTGAGAAGCAAATTTTCATTTGCTCTCTCCATCTCACTCTTCACATGCTTGGTGTGATCCAGCTGAATGGGTGAAAGGCAAAGGAGAGAGAGACAGCTTGTATAAGGTGGTAGTCAATCACTCTGTGCACACAGCTGGGTAAGAGAGAGGGAGGGAGGGGGAGAGAGAGAGAGAGAGAGGGAGAGAGAGAGAGGGAGAAGCTGGGGGACCAGCCAGCCCTTCATCCCTTACTCCTGGCTTTAAGTTTAGAGGCAGCCAGTCAGATTTTTTTGGCTTTGACACAGCGCTCATGACAGGAATAGGAACCGGGGACGCAGGACCAACTGGAGATCTGCAGGTCCTAGTGGATGATCCTGAGCCAGATTCTCTCCCTGCACAGGTATGAAACCTTCATATTGTACCACCAGATCTGTCTATGTACCTACAAAATGATTATACAGCTGGAAACAACAGCAATTGCCCACTTCATCCCAATACAAAATGCAAGAATATTTTTTGGCAAGTATGGTTTGGCACCAAACCAGTATGGTGATCAAATCAGATCCTGTGATTGCTGGGAAAAAGTTCACAGTATATTAATCTCATCTTGATATGAAGTGGATATTAGGTTGCAGGATATGTAATAAAATCCACCAAATAACTATTAGTGCCTCTTTTTTAAAAGTATTTTTCTCAATTTAACTAGATATAAGACCCCCTCTTTTCTTACTCCTTTGTTCCTCACACAGAAGCGTGCACTGACAGTGAATGCCTAGACAAAGAATGAGAATGCAGTGAGGTCATGTTGGAACCTTAGTAGGTGCTTCATGATATATTGTTATATAAGTTAAGTTGCAGCAACACAACATTAGGACATATGGATTCAGTGTTAGTCACTGATTAAATTATCTACCGATTAGATGTCTCTTACATGAGCATGATGAAACTGCAAACATAAAGGAATGAATGGACAGCCTGATATGAAGCATGTTTGCATAAAATGCATTGTCTTTGTTTTTCCTGTGCCTTTTGGCTCATGGGGGGGAAATACCCCAAACTCGAAAAAGATGTAAATCACCGTGTTCATTACACTTCAGTTGCATCTCATTGCAGCTTATTTTGGATCCTGAGGAATTGCTGAACTAAGTTAGCTTTTTCTGGTATGAAACTCCAATTTAGATTTGTTCAACTTGTGCCAAGTTTATATAAGAGCATTGCACTCTGGTGTTCATCTTGGCAGATACATTCTGCAGCAAAGAGAAGGGCTGCTAATTTTAGATGTCTCCGTAATCCTTTTTTATGTAACTGGCTAGTGGTCCCATGCGCCGTAACTTAAAAATACTCACACTGCCATTATTCCTGAATAGCACAAAAGACAGAGGTAAGAGAAGCACTTCTGCCAGTGAGGGGTTAATTTACCCACTAAGACTCTCTTTGCACTGTAAGGAAGTGTGAATAGTCGCCCGCCCACCAAATGACTCACGTTCACTGAATGCACAGTTAAATCTTTATGTTGTTACAATGTGAAATAGGAGAAACTGGTGTTAGCTGTGAGATTAGTCAGATCTGCAGATTTAAAAAATGATCAGGGTAAGATTACAAAATACCCTAGGAATACAGAGTTGTAGCACAGTTTATAGCACAGCTGTCATAGGTACCTGTATATTTGCTTGTTGTTAAGGCATCTACTATGCATATATATGTGTTTGTGTGCAGCTCTATGTACATGTACACAGGGAGTTACATGCCCTTGTGTAGGTTTCAGTAAAATTCCAGCTGCATGTGGTGCAGTGGAACAGCGTGTGGTTTCACTCTATAATTCTGCACCAAAAGAAGGAGGTGAGGGTGGGGTGGGGGGTGGGGGGAAGGTTGGCTTGCAAGTTTCCTTTGATTACAAAGTGCGGAGTCCCTTTTCCTTAGATTTCTGCTGTTTCAGCTTGCCACAGTTAAGTCTAGTGTAACACTTTGTAGTGAGAAAAGCCTGAATGCGAGAATTCTGTGTGTATGTATGTGTGTTTAATGTGCAGATGTGTCTGGTGCCAATCCATATCAATCAACCTAAGTCCTTGGCACAGCAAGACACTGTGTGTTTGTGTCGGAGCTCTGTTTAACATCTCATGACAGCTTCTTTTAACTCCCTGATTCTAATATTGGAGACTGCAAGTCAGTCAAGAGTCTTTGATAGAAAAGTGAAACCTGAAAATAGAGTAGTATATTGTAATAAAAATAATTGCTTCCCTAATTCTTCATTTTTTTCCCATCTCATATGTTATAAACCTGATGTATTTCAGCTCCAAAGTAATCTTGTGTTCAGTACTTGATGATAGAGCTAGTGAACAAATCATGATTAGATACAACCAAGAAAAGACCACACTGATGGCTGCAAAATGCCAGCTGAAAGCCGGCCTGTTGTCTCTCTCTGTCTTTCTCACCCGCACACATGCATGTGCACTGGCACTTTTGGGGGGTATATCTAGACAACAAGGAACAGGCAAAAACAGATTTCACATTTACTGTAAAGAAACACAGAAAGGCACAGTTTTCCTTCTTTACATTAATAAAATCTCTCTCTGATGTTTGATGTGAGCTCATCACTTCTGATCTCTCTGAATAACCAAAGTGTCATTTTCTTTTGCTCCACTTTTTTTCTGTCCCTCTCACCTCTCCTGTTCTGCAGACATGAACTGCTCTGGTTTCAATTAGGCTCTCAGGGATATGTGAGGGGTTTCTCCTTCTCTCCCTTGTTCTCTCTACATACACAGTATACAGCTGTCTCTGTCGCCATCTCATCCTCTGGTTTTGGATTTACTGCTTGTGGTCGGACTTCTTCCCTCCACTTCACTGTACATGCTTCTAGTTTGTACTGTCATTCTTTCCTTGTAATCCTTTCTGCTTTTTTTTGTTATAGCTGGATGGTGAGGCTGTTAGATGGTAACACTCCATATACCAGTGGGCACACGGACACACACACAAGAAACCCAGTCCAAAGGACACAAAGTAGTCAGCTTACTGGAAAGCTAGATGGCAGAGTATAATTTTTTAAAAAAAGCTTACCTATAAACTTTTTCCTTGCAATCCAGTTTTGTATTTCTGTAATTAACTGCTTAGACAGACTGTCTGAATTACTACATGCTTACCTACATATGTATATCTATGTGTGCAACTTCAATAGAAGGCAAAGATGCTACTATTATTAAAGAAGGGCTTGTCATAGTTTTGGAGCCTTGCCTCTTGTTCCTGCTTTCTCTCTGTAACTCAGTGGTACTTGTAGAGATCCATACTCTTTCTATTCTCAGTGGCCTGTCCAGTGTTTTGAAGTGAGAAGAGTCTCTGTGGGCAGCTAGCACAGATAGAGACTGTGCAGCCTTGAGGCTTTGTATGTGAAAGACTCTGACAGAGATTAGCACAGATAAGAATGTTCTATTTTTTATAGGTGGGTCTTGCTTATTCATCAGCCTGCAAGTCAAGATTGCAGCACTTTTTGCCATTTTTCCATACTAATGAGTGTATGGTAAACTGGGAACACATATGTTTCAGCTTGATTATATAACATCTCTGCAATGGTAGGAAATAAACAGAGTGGAAGTCACCAGTGGTTTAGGATTCATGTCTTGTAGCAGGATTTAGCCTCAGACCAGCATGAGCCAAACCCTTTATGTCAAGCATGGTTTTTATGACTGAAATCTGGAGAAAACTGAAAGTCAGTACTTTGATGCACAAGTGTAGCCTATCTGCTTTATTGTTAATGTGTGTTGTCTTCTTGTGTGTTCCTGGATTAGCAGAACAGAGCAGTCACCTGAAACCAGACAAATCCATCTCCTCTCTTTGCCAAAGGGAATACCCCCTTTAGCTGATATCATGATGTTTTCTGTCCTGTGCAACTTCAGCATCTGACATAAATGTTGTTTTTAGTCTGGCATGATGCTCCTTTATGTCTTTCACTTTACTCCCTGTGGTCTGTTTTCACTTGGAAACATTGTTTGGAAATGTTTTTTGAATTTGACTCCATCTCTAGTTCTCTAAATCTCAGTCAGTGTCTTCTTCTCTTGACTCCTCTACTTGATATAGGTGGTATGTGATGTTAGAGGCCAACCTGTCTGTGCTTCCTCCAGTCTGCTGAGTCCAAATGACCCATTTGAACCCACAGACTATTAAGAAAACATAAACTGACTCAAAGAATGGGACAGCATGTGCTTTTTTTGTGTGCTTTTCCTCCATTCACTGTCCCTGTGTGCGTGCCTCTCTTTTTATAACAGTATTTTCATGTAGCTATACAAATGTCTTATATTTGTCTGTGTGTGCTATTTGAAGGTTTCCGCAGCTTCGTTCACACATTCGCACTTTTAACACTGGTTATATTTCCACTCACTTCTCTGTTTTTTGCGCTGTGCTACTTGCATTCACTGATTTGCTTACATTTATAGTTTCAACTTTAAGCATTTAGATGATTGCTTACTCATCAAATTACAACAGGGAGTGCATGAAGGAGTGTGAGGATAAAAACAATGAGCAAGAGCTGTTCTGGCTTTAACATATTAAAGCTGGAGTTGAAAATCTAGGTGATGAGTTTTAAGTCTACTCCCTACACACTGTTCACCAAAACAAATTCCACAAAGAGAAAGACCACAGACTGAAGCTTTTATTCAGTGGGTTGTTTTGATTGAGAGCATACTCGTGCTGCTGTCTTCTACTTGTTTAAAAGACTGACTAGGTAAATTGTTTGGTTTGAAAATCCATTAAAAGGATTTAATGCAAATGATCAAATAATGATTTTTCCATTTGCTCAGTGGTTTCAGACAGTGATACATAAAGTGTCTGTTCAGTGTACACTGGGAACTGGAGCTCTATCACAACTGCTGACATGATACTTACTGCTACAGTACAAGCAGACTTCTCTCAAAGGTTTACTGGCAGCAAAATCTGATTGTGGTCTCCCTGTAAAATCCATCTAGTGGTAGAAATGTGAAAGTGTTGAAACATGATCCATGGGTTTTAACAAAATTAATCTAATAATTAGCACCCAATATAAAAATATTACTGGTGTGGCACAGAAACTACACTTTGTTATCCTGCAGGACCCACAGTGTAATAAAACTGACAGCCAAACATGGCACCACATAGAGTGCATACAGGAGTGACTTTCACTGTTGAAGTTAAAATGACAACATTTGTCCAATGTGTGTCACAGCTAGAGTTTTAGAATTAATCAGCTAAATTATGACTTTCAAATGATGAAGCTAAATAATCCTTCCGTCCATTATCAATACCGCTTATCCTGCAAAGGGTTATGAGGGGCTGGAGCAAGTCCCAGCTGACACTGGGTGAAAGGCGGGATACACCCTGGACAGGCTGCCAGTCTGTCACAAGGCTGACACTTTGAAACAGACAATCACACACACC